ATATATATATGTGTGTGTGTGTGTGTGTGTGTGTGTGTGTGTGTATGTATACATATATATTATGAATTATATATAGTATTATAATTAGTTAAAATGCATTTTTATACATCCATACAATGACTGGCATTATTTTACATAAAATGTCTAAAATGTATTTTGATACCTATAAAAAGCTTAATGGGATACTCGAACATGAAACGAATAAAATGAAAAAAATGACTAACAAACACTGTATGAACTGAAATGTGAGTTTTTCCTAGACAAAAATATCTATTTCAGACATGTGACATCTGACAGTCGTTAAAAAGTAGAAGGCGGCGTGTAGTTTGATTATATGATACAACGGCCTTCCACACACCCACGGTAGCCGTAGCAACAAAGAGAAAAAAAGCTGAAAAGTGGCGGCAAATAAACATTTTTCCATTCAAATGAGTCACTTCAGGGCCTGAACAAACGAGTCTTTGTGCTGTCAGAGCCTGAATGTGGAGCTTCACGACGACATATGAGCAACTAAACACTTCAGGACTCATATTACATAATTTACCGAGCAAACAGCCTGTTTAATATCATTATACTTACTGCCAAAAGAGCTTGAAGAGTTTACACAGTGTTACCTACCTGTGTGCTCGCAGTCTGGTGGAGGTTCATGGTGAGAAAAGTTCATTTGGCTGTTCATCCGGTGAAAACAGCTGTATGTGAACACATTTGGAAGCAGTTTCTCTGACAGCCTCCTCTCCTCATCATTTCCTGACTCTGTGCTCCACCCAAGTAAAGAAAGACCGCCCTGCTTGCAAATGTGCACCAAAAAAAGACCAGCCTTGCTCATTTTCCTGACTTTAAACCTCGCCAGTGATGTGCAAAACCTAATATTTCATCACACTTACATAAAAAGGCACAAAAGCACCACATTGACCCTTCACACTTCCAAAAACATGAACTCTTCAGATGTTCCTTCACTCATTCAACCTTTATTTATACAATAGTCTCACGAGGACTCATTTACAAGAGACCTAATAAATGAGGTACACACAACAATAAACATTCATATGAAAGCATATACAATGAAAAGTGTATAAAAGAAGTGACATAAAACGAAATAAATAAAAAGCATGCTGCATAAAAACCGTGTAAGATACTAAAAACAGGAACATGTCTGCATATTGAGCTTAACAGTAGTTTAAAATCCCTTAGAGAAGTCAAGGTTGAGAGCTTCAGATCTTTTTGGAAGGTGTTCCAGGACACAGGAGGAGCAAAATGAAGGCCCCTTTGCCAAATTCGGTCTGCACTGATGGGACACTGCAGGTAATGATGGCTTGGGAGTGCACGCTGTAGCTGCATTGACAATGTGCCATGTAGTAGGAGATGATGAGGGCAGCAAGCCAAGAAATTATTTAAAGATGAAAATGTACCAGTGTGAGTCTGTGTGAAGTTAATGATGACCAGTTGACCAATGAATATGAGGAGTACGTTAGTTACAGCCAATTATGAATCTTAGTGCACCGTGATAGGCAGCATCCAGCATCTGCAAGGTGCTTGCAGGAGCATTCATGTAAATAGTGTCACCAAAGTCAATGGAGGGAGTTAGAAGGTGTTTCCTAGCATTCAGAGTTAGACAGGATTTCTGATAAAGAAACCCAATTTGTAAATAGAAACCTAATATGTACTTTTACCAGGTGATATAAACATTATTTATCCACCAAAACATGGAGTTTTAGGCATGAATGAATAGCAAGGACAGGCAGAAACATGATGCTGGCTCTCCAACTTTTTAGCCTCCAACTACTAAAATAACTGCAGATTATTGTGACCCCAACTGTCTTTGATTCAAATATGCAAACATTACAAATTGGACAATCAAATGAGGGATATAATGACAAAAACACCATTCTTCTGCTTCTCCTACTTTCAGTTAGAGAGGCCAGGGACAGTGGGTATATTGGTAGAAGGATGTTAGAAATGCAGCTGCCAGAAAAAACAAAGAAGAAGGCCAAAGAGGAGATATACATATGGATGCAGTTAGAGAGGACACGGAGGAAGCTGGAGTGAGGACAGAGAGAAAAGTAGGAGGATGATGCACTGTGGCAACCCCTGAAAAAGAAACAGCTTGTTCAACCTGTGCTGTACCTCTGATGATCTCATTCCTAAACTTATCCATTCTTGTCCCTCCTTAGAAGAACCTCAACATCTTCATTTCTGCCACTTCCAGTTTTTCCTCCTGACTTTTCATCAGTGCCACTGTCTCCAGATCATACAACATACTCTGGTCTCGCCACAGCCTTGAAAACTTTTCCTTTGACATTTGCTGACACACATTTTCACAAATCATTCCTGAAACTTTTTCCATCCATTCCATCCTGCCTGGACTCTCTTCTTCGCTTCTTTACCACAGCCCTCATTTTCCTTGACCATGAAGTCCTGCACCTTTGTGGCCTCTGCTCCATTGTCGCATTGTTCCATAAGTCTCCCTGTCATTCTCACACACATGTATGGTACTATGGCTGACTTAATTCCTCTTCTTTTAAGTGCATACCTCCACCTCTCTATGTTCTCTTCTACCTGGTCCTTCCCTGTTCTCAGCACAGATCACAATGTCATCTGCAAACATCATAGTCCACGGGGATTCCTGCTTGACCTCATCTGTTAAGTCAGTCCATCACCAAACCAAACAAGAAGGGGCTCAGAGCTGATCCTTGATGCATTCCCAACTCCACCTTGAAGGTATCAGTCACTCCTACAGCACATCTCACCACTGTCCTGATGTCCTCATACATGTCCTGTACCAGTCTAACATACTTCTCTGCCACTCTAGATTTTAGATTTGTTCACAGAACCATCTCAATACCCCAGACTTGATGTTTTGCACCCCATGAGGTCCCGACCTGTTTTAGAAACAACTGCCTTAGAAGAAGAAACAAG